AAGCGAGCAACTAACGCAATTTCTAGTCAGCGTAAAAGAGAGAGAGAGAGAAAGAGAGAGAGAGAGAGAGAGAGAGAGAGAGAGAGAGAGAGAGAGAGAGAGAGAGAAGAGAGAGAGAGAGAGAGAGAGAGAAAGACAGAGTGAGATAGAAAGATAAAAATATATATATATAGAGAGAGAGAAAGAGAGAAAGAGAGTGGTTAATGATCGGATAAAACCACGGAGAAGTGAGACTGATGAGTGTGTGACTGATCGATTATTTAGTATTTATGATTTAACAGGGGAATAAAATAAAACTACAAAGATCCAAATCATCGACTTGCCTTTCTGTATGGTTCGGCATATTCTGTTTCAGTCTATAACGAACGGGATAGAGTTCCAAAATAGTTAGCAATTGCAATATCAATATATACATACATATTGTGAACTTATCTCATACGTTTCTCGTGCACCCCGAAGGCACGTTAATGTAATCTTTACAAAGTTAATAATAACTTTCACGTCATAAAAAAAAAAAAAAAATATAAATAAAAATTTATTAACGTAATTCTTAACCGCATAATAATAATCGTTCGCGATAAAATTTTGTTATCGAGGTGCACGCGTTAAAAAAAAAAAATAAACCTTCCAACGATTATTTACCTTTTTCCCTCGATCATGCAATTTCTTTTCCGTATCTTTCAACATCTCTTGACTCCATAAATCAAAGAAATAATTTGGATCCGTGTAAAACTTCAATCCATCTTTTCCGTCCTCCCTGATAAATGAAATGTTCATTGAAAATCAATATTCAATTCTATATCAAAAGTTAACGAAATATTTTAGCATAATATATACCTATAAATGTTGAGTTTATCTAAAGGTGGTGGTGTGTCGCATTGACGATAAGTTTCTAACATCGCCGTTGGCATTGTATCCCTTGATACTACTTGTTGATCGAAAACGACCGAACTCTTGAATGCCTTCCTCATATGTATATCTTGTAATGAAACTAAATAAAATAAATAATTATTACACTTTGTAATAATTCCATTAATATTATTATATGAAATTTATATGCCAATGATAAGTTCAAAATAATAATTAGATAATTCCTTTATATATTAAATATGAAAAATTCATTAATTATTTCTAAAATTTCTACGATCGACCCCACCAACCTTCCTCGACATTGCTATCAAGTTGAGTGACCTTGACGGCCAATCGATCTATCCTAGCTTGCAAAGAATTTGCCCTGTCGCTTAACGCATGAGCTTCCCTGGTTAGCTCTGCAAAGAGATCTTCGGCATGCCGTGATAGGCTGGAGAGTTGTCTAATGGTATTAGCCAAAGTACCATTGGTGACAGCTTCTAATTCCGACGGTAATGGAAAATCTTCCGGTATCGTACCACGTGCGACGTGAACGGGTTCCACCAATCTTTTCGGAAGAGGCATTTTTTTTCTCAATTAGTTTTGCGTTACGATCCTTTTGATTAGGCTTCGTAAATCATTCACCGTTCTTTCAAAATCTGCAATAAGACGTTTTTATTTTGTTAAGTTTTTCTGATACTTTTAACTTTTACTTGAATTCTCAATTAATTCGTAATAATTTTATAACGATGATAAAAAAATATATATACATATATATATATATATATACACATATAAGAAATAATAATAATATATGTTAAAAAAAATAAAAAAAAAAAAAAAAAAAAAGAAAAAAAAAGAGAATAAAAAAAGAATCTATATATATTTATATATCACATATCATATATAATATATTTTTAAGTGTGTATGTGCGCGTGTACGTTATCATTAATCTATTCGAGTTTTAATTTACTTAAAAGAAAAAATAATAATAAATAAAAGTGAGCGATCGTGTTACGTTAAATAAAAGTCTAACGACCTGCGAAAGGCGATACTCGCGGAGACAGAAAAGGAAACGTTAGGATTAGTATACGCATGAGAGCAGCTTTACAATCAGTTCTACAATTAGTTCTAGTAGTATTCGAATGTACATATAACGGATCTTAAAGCATTAGATATTGTATTTATACGTCATGATTGATTTATATGTACATCGGTATCGTTTAAATATATGATGCTATATAAGGATAAGAAATCTAATATCGCGAGATTTTTACCTTCGTTCATCGTAAGGAATAAAGATAAAACGATAAGTATGGAAGGACAAACGATATATATATATATATATATATATATATATATATATATATACATATATATATATGTCGTGCGGTTAGCAAATGTACGACGATGAGCGAGATAAATAAATCTGGAGAAGATATGTAAGAAAATAATCAATACATAATATAAATCAATATGTATGAACATAATTATACGCATTTATATGTAACATTCATATTTCATAAGTGATGAATAAGCGAAAGCTGTTAACGAGAAGTGAATGGAAAAGGTTAAAATGAAAATTGAAATTTAAAAATAGTCTGAGATCAATTATTTACTTATGATAATATATTTTCATTTGAACAATTTTTTATTATCTATATATTATACCTAAAGGCATGCTTAGACATTATTAAAGATCTATGTAAAACAAATAGACATATAGAAATAATGTATAATAATTTTCTTATTAAACGAAATCTTTATAAGTTTGGAAAACTTGTAAGTAATGAAATCAGAGATATAAATTAATGTAAAAAAAAAAAAAAAAAAAAAAAAGAAAAAGAAAAAAATGTCAAATTATCAGAGCATAATTGAAGAACGGTAATAAATAACAATAAACTATGATTATATATCTAGCCCAAGATAATCTACTTTAAATATGAATGAAGATTTGAAAGAGATCGGCAAATATTAAGTATATTTGAACAAATGATAAATAGATAGATGACGTTAAAAAAACATGGAACATTTATTTAGTAATAATTAAACGTATTCATACCTCATATTTTGAGATTAGATGATGACATAATGTAATCACATGTGAAGATAAAAATCCACAGTCTTTTGAACTTTTTAAAGTAGTGTTCATCACGGTAGAAACATTTACACCCAATTCCGATAATATAATATCACATATAAATGGGCATGATTAATTTCAGTTTTGACCTCTTGAATTTTGCACTAATGTCATGGCGGTGCACTATCTTCCTTTCTTGTTCACATTAAACACCTGTTAAGAGAAATAAGATTGATCGTATGAAAACTCCGAAACCGTTGTATATGTTTAAAACTTATATATTTTCTTTTTTTTTTCATTTCGATTTAAGGAGAAGAATCACCCCCTACGTAGCTGCCACCCCGGCGGCCATGTGTCACCCTGCAATTCTGTTCCCAGCCACACGATGGCGCTTTACACTCCCCACCTCTCTCTCTCTTTTTCTCTTTCATATAACTATCTTTTTTACTGATTTTATTAAACTAAACCGATAAAAGACATATGAATTTATCAACGTTTCTACTTATATAAACATCCCTTTTTATTTATCTATAAATTAGTCTAAATAATCGTTTTTATTTCTTTTATTTTTTTATATTATCGTAACTACAGTTCTCTCTGTACGAGTTACTGACAAACTATGAACACACGATACTTCGTCGACTTAAAGAATATTGAAAGTCAATACATAAGGAAAAGCGTTAAGTAGATTTAGGTCATTTCTTTTAAAAGGATTTCTAGAGTATATCATCACGATAGAAAGCGTTTAAAAAGGCAAAATGAAAAGACTAATAAGATATTCGTCTGATTTCGATTCGCCATATTTTCTCTCGCCCCCACCTCTCCTCGTCTCAACACACTTCATCACCATAGCACACAACTTCCTTCTCGTCACACTGCGCCACGCCCCGCCCCGCCTCGCCTACTACTACTTTCGTCTTCCATCAACTGACAAGACGTGTCACGTTTTCTCGCGAGACTTCTTCTTACACCCATCGTTAACTCACCATATTCAGCGGAGTATGGCTAACTTCACGTATACGCATAATGTCGGTCAACGTAGTAGTACGATCATTGAAACGTACCACACCCCCTCCCTAACCTCCCCTTCTTATAATTACGTTCTTTCACCGATAAGAAATGTTTTTCTCTCTTTACCAAAACGAGTACAAACGAGTTCACTTGTCAGCGTATAATATGGCGTTTATTTCTTCGATTCGTATTTATTTTTTTTACGTTCGACTTATTGTTGCAATTGTAAACGTTCTTCAAGCGCTGTTAATCGCGGCGCTGTTCTTTTCAACCAACCGTGGACAAAACGAAAGACCAACCAACCGACCGAATGACAAGCAACTGACTGAGTTACTCCCGTTACATCAACGCAACAACACGCAAATCAAAATCGCGGGAAATTTTAAATATGAATACCTTGATTATTTGATTTTCTTTATAAATAATTTTCAATCTTTTTTATTATATACGATAACTACGTCCAACGTGATGTCATCTGATTTACTAATAACTTTTACAAATCTGACATAATTAAAAAATTTTTGTAACAACGTTTAAACATAAGATATTATTGTTAATTAAAAAAAGTCTTGGCATTGATTATTCGTTCGTTTTATATCAATATGTTCTTCGTTATTTCATTGACATGCTCCTAACCTATAATTCCATCACTAATCATGCGCTGTTTATATAATCTCATTTAGACGTAAAAGATATCAATTTTTTATTTTTTTCTTTTTTTTCGCAATTATTTTTCTTTGATCCTTCACAAACACTATAATTAACTTATTTTTATTTACACTGTTGTCTTCACGAATTTGTTATACAATCGTTTAAAAACTGTTTGAAAATCTAACATGGCAGCCATTTCGGATTTAATGCCACCACTTCCAGTTACTCTTGTTAATCCTTCACTGTTCTATTTTCGTTACCCTTATTTTCTTGTTTTTTCTTTTACTTTTTTATTTAAATTTTTCTTTTTTTAATTCAACGAATGTTCGTACTTCTATCACGTAGATAAGTCAGAAAAAAGATTAAATAACAAAATCTTTTGTCATAATTGAAGTCAAAAAAAAAAAAGATTAAATAACAAAATCTTTTGCCACTATTGTTAACGTGTAACAAGTGTATTTTTATTTTATAAAAAATATGAGTAACATGAAAAATTATCGTAAAAATGGTGGAGGGAAACGTCCACAAAAGAAAACAGAATCTAAGGAAAAACCACAAATATTAGCACAACCTAAACAATCTTATGCTGAGTATGACAATAACGCAAAAACTGATGATAAAAATAAAGATTTTGAAGCTTTTATAAACCAACCAATTTCAATGGATGGGCAATTTGTTTTTAAATGTGAAAAGAATTGGTCTGCAGATGTATTAGGATGTTTTGACTATTTTACTCTAGATTTAAACTTACTTTCTGCTGCTATAAGGTGCATACCTTTTAATGAATGTGTTAAAATAAAGGATGAATATTTCACAGTAAGTATTTTTATATCGACATTACACATAACATTATTCTTTATCAAATTATGTTACTATATAATTTATATATTTTGTATAAATGTATATTATAGGCTGATCAATTAACGAGTTTCTACAATGCTGTTGAAGAAGGAAAAGAAGCTTATAATGATATTCTATCTAATTTAGAAATTTCTAGTTCATCTAATACAATGAATTTTAATAAATCATTAGATAGAGAAAGTAAAGAAAAACTAGAGATGAATTTAAATCTTGAAAAGTCTATGACAGATAATAAAACATTTGAAGCTAAGATACAAAATAAAAGTGACGATAGTGATACAGAAGAAAGTTTAGATTTCTTATTATCTCTTAAATCATCCACCTTACAAAGCAATAAGAAACAAATGACTTCAACAGATGTATTTTCTAAAAATGGTAATTTAATTAATTTATTTTTAAAAATATTTTAATAAAATATATAGACTCTGTTTTTTTTTGCATATTTTATAAATCTCTTGTATCATTGAATTATTTGATTTATTTTTACTTATGATTTACGAATTTTTATTTGTAGAACTCAAAACGCAGTCTGCTACCTTATCAACTAAACCAATTGATCTTGAAATCTGGTTAGATAAAATATTAGATGACTAAAACTTGAAATTTGTATATTTGTTTATAAACTTAATCTTAAAAATTCAATAATAAGATTGCATATAAATAGGAATCATATTATTACAAAGTAATTAGTAATTTTCTGTAATAAAATATAATACTATTAGATTAACTATTAGATTGTTATTGTCGTAATAAAAAATGCAAATTTTTTATTATACTGTAAAAGAATATGAATTACTTATTAATATATTTAATGTTATAGACTTATTGTGTACATTATGTAGCATAAAAATCAATATGAAAATTTGTTAGTAAGATATTCATGCATATAATCATAAACTACAAGCATAATAGCTCCACCTGGGCCCAATCTCAATACTTTTGGCAATAAACCTTTGTATAAAGCTTTGAAACTGAAATAAAAAAAAGAAAAAAAAAAAAAAAAAAAAAAAAGAGAAAATATAAGTAATGTTTAATTTTATCAATCTATAAGTAATATGAAACAATAGTTTTATACCCTTCATTTTTATAAATAATACATATAGTATTTAGTGTTCCCTTGTATTGTATATTTCCTTGTGGTCCTTGTATACGACTTTTAGCGACATCAAAAGGTATATTTAAACAAGAAGCTACTGTACCTGACACGAAACCTAGACCGACCTAAACAATCAATAATATTTTATTAAAAATATAATAATATAAAAAATGTTCATAAATATTATATTATAATTACCTTAGTTACGAATTCAAGCAAGGGTTCTTTATTTACTGGTATGTAACTTTTTACAGAATGATAAAATCCAAAATAAAAAGAATTAAATACGGCATTTCTCATCATAGTGGCAGTTAATCCTTTATAAAGCCCATTTAATCCAAATCCATATTTTGATACAATTTCTCTTGTTACAATAGCAGTTGATGGTCTTCCTACACGATTTGATTGTTGCTTTATTTTAATAACTTCAAAAGGATTCACCAAAATTCCTTCAGTAATTCCAGCAAAGAAGCCAGCGCATGAGAATGTCTACAATTATTGCATTTTTAAAATTCTCCTTAAAAAATATATATATATTAAATAATATATTAATAGAAATAATGATTCAATCCATTATTGTTACCAAAGGAGTAGGCGACGCAGCACCAAATAAAAAGAATTGTTTGTATTGTTCGAATGTAAAAAACTAAAAGAAAAGAAATTATAATAATAAATTTAATATAAATTAAAAAAAAAAATTTTGATTACTAAAATGTTCACTGCATACTTTCACTGCTCTTTTAGGTGTTTCTACAATGATTGGTGGAAGCAATCCTTTCCACAATGCAGTAATACCTTCAGTTTTACACATCTTATGCATACAATCTATAATGCCTATATAGCAACAAACAACAAAATTAATGTTTTATTATAGTTTTCATAATCGCATTATACCTGTGTAATAAGTGGCATCTGCTGCTTGCATTCTAACTTGAAGTTGAAATCGTGTTTTGATAAGATCCATTGGATGCATTATACAAACTTCAACAAAGCCTGCAGAACCACCAGCACCAATTTGTATGATGCCTTCATTTATAAGATTCCTTTTGGTAGGATGTACTTTTTGTTGATACATTGTTTTCAGCTTCTTATTCTTAACATCTTTTGTTATCACTTCTTAATATCACAACAATCAATATTTTCTATTCTGAATAACAATTCACCCTGAATAAAATAATATAAATAATTCCATATACATATATATATATATATATATATATATATTTATTGCATTAAACTAAGACTGCCTGAAATTGAAAGTATCCATTGTATCAGAGCTTTCTCTTGAATAAAAAGAACTTGCGGAATATCCGAGGTTTTTCTACTATGAATACATGCTATAAATGTGTTTACTGACTTGCAATCTATTTTTAAACTTAAAAATTCTAACCTGACTTTTGTGGCTATATTTTCACAACAATTTCTATCAAATTTCATTACACCAAACACACAGCTCAATCATTCAACTACTTTAATCAATGACTATAAAATTTATATTAAACAATTTTCTTATTAAATGTAGCAAAAGATATTTAATATAAAGCATTTCTTTATCACAGATAATACATTTCTTTCTTATGTCAATGAGAAATTCATTTATCTTTAATATTATGCAATGGTATTCTTATCTTTAAAAAGAAAAAAATAAATACACTATTAAAAAGAAAAATATAAGAAATATGATTAATAATGCATCAATGAAAATAAGAATAACTCTTTTACTAATAACATTTATATCGAAGAAACATTAATTTTTCAGTCCTGAAATATCAATTAATCAGTCATGAAAAAGTATATCTCAAATATTCTCTATAAATACTTTATTGTTCAATATATTATGACATGTACAGTACATAAAAGAAAAATTATGCAATTCTCTAAGATGTACCCATATTTAGTCTCAATATAAAATTTCTATTTATAGAGAAAAGAAATGAAATAAAATATATTTTTATTGAATTATATTGTAATTACATGTCAATGATAAAAAATGTAATATCTCAAATAAAATATAAAATATTATAACTAATAAGATTACTTTACGATAACATGACACAAGATAACATAATATCAATTTTATAAGATCAAGATTTTATCCTTAAACATTTGATTAAAAACAAATATGCATACATATATATTTAATCTACATTTACGTGCGAATGAAGAATAGGTTATGAAAAAACACAATATTATATCACACTTGTACATATACACGTATAATTTTTGATAACACAAATATTCCCATTTACGTTAATTACTATCTTTTTCCTCCTTTTCTTCTTTTTTTTTTTTTCTTTTTTGGACAAGTAACGAAATCGTATAAAATAAAATGTAAATGTTTAAACAACGTCGTCGTGTATATATGCATATGAAAATTAGAATTTACTTGAATAAGGTATTCAGTAATAAAATAGCAGATTAGCAAGAATGACCTTGAAATGTTATCGTATATCGCCAGGTCATAATGATTTCAACATATACTGGACTTCAATAGCTGCCTTGTGCGTAAAATATAGAGAGGAAGAGTTCGAAGTATCTCCGCCAAGCAGTAATAATTGGATTTTACTGTGATCCCGCCATAACTCGTACTGTTCATATTCGTTGCTTATATCATATATATATTTCTTTTCTTTTTTTTTTTTTTTCCTAACAATTTCATTATAAATATCCAGTCAAAATGAGCGTGAGACAAAGAAAGGTATCTATCTGCATATATACACATATAAATAAAATAAGTTTTTACGAGAAATTGTAGAAAGATTGCATAATTAAATCTTTTTGAATCTAACTTCAAAGAATGAGAAAGTTTTTTCTTTTTTTCCTTTTTTTTTTTTTTGTCAGTGTTATTAAATCTATTCCCTTTTGAAATTTATTGTTAATATCATTTAATGATTTCTCATGAATTATATTACGTAGTAATTATTCATATATTAAATGTTATATTATAAACGACGTAATGCAAGTCATCAAAGGGGGGAGAATATCTATTCCATTTTTTTCTATTCATCTCCACTTCTTGACACAGCACATATTCTATATACATACACAACACATATACATATTATATTCATAATTGAAAGCCACGTGTCCGCGTAAAGAAAGTGTATATATATATGTGTGTGTGTATATATATATATGTTGTGTGTGTGTGTGTGTGTTATCTATACGCAACATTTGTTGAGTGAAAATATGGACGATGAGGTTTATAACATGAAACGATTTCTTTTACTATTAAGATATATTTAAAGTATTTTTTTTTTTTTAATAAATAAATACGAACCAAATCTGCATTAAATGCAGTATAAGCTTGTAAGTGATAATTATGGATTCGATATCTTGCTTTTTTTTTTTATATCTTTCTATTTTTGTCTCTGCATGATTCGTGCTTAAACTTTTCTTTTCTTTTTTTTTTTTTATTTTCTTTCTCTATAAAACTTCTATTATTTCTCTCATTTTTATTTATTTCTCCTTTCATTCTTTTTATCTTTTTTAACATATTTTTTTTTTCTGTCATATTTTTCTTCTGCCTGCTTTACTTTTTATTTGTCTGACATATGACAGAAAATTTTGTAATTGTTTATACTCTTTTATAAACTAATTAATATTAATATTGACAAAATTTTCTTTTGTTTATAATATTTAAAATTCTAATGCTAATAATTATTGAGATATATCAATTGTGATATTATTTTTTATTAAGTTAAATTGAGCCTTTTTTTTACTCAATTACTTTTAATAAAGGTTATTTATATCATATTCTTATCAATATTATTCTTTTGTAGCTAAAATCTGAAAATGAAAAATTCTATGAAAAGGAATCATCACCCAGTATGAAAAAAAGTATCAGTCAACCTGGAAGAAGATATTTTATGATAATTGCTTTACTTGGTATATTATTCCTTGGTTATATTGCAATAGCAAATGATTTAAAGCCAATAAGAATTGGTAGTAAGGTTATTGATACTTTAGCATTTTCATTAAATATACAAAAGCCATTTTATGTTGTTATCATCGATGCTGGATCTACCGGCAGTCGTGTATTAGCATTTAGCTTTCACGAATCAATTCTCAACCATCATCTAATATTAGATGCTGAAATGTACAGTGAAGTCAAACCTGGATTAAGTGCATTTGCAGATGATCCAAAAGTTGCAGCACAATCTCTTATTAAGCTGTTGGAAAAAGCTAAATCAGTTATACCACAATCAGAATGGTCCAATACTCCGCTTACTATGAAGGCTACTGCTGGCCTTAGGTTATTGCCTGGACATAAAGCAAATAATATACTTGAAGAATGTAGTAAACTTTTTGAGTCATCTGGCTTCAGAATATCAAAAAATTCAATTTCTGTAATGGACGGAGCTAGTGAAGGAATTTTTTCTTGGTTCACAGTAAATTTTCTATTGGATAAACTTAATTCTCATACATCAGAAAATACGGTAGCTGCACTTGATCTTGGTGGGGGCTCTACGCAAGTAACTTTTTCACCAAATAAAATGCAAGCGAAAGAATTGAAACAACATGTGTATGCTATTAATGCTTTTAGTCATAATATGAGCGTATATACGCATAGCTATCTAGGAATGGGTTTAATGGCTGCTAGAAAAGAAATCCTGACCCATGGAATGACTATAAAAAATACTACTACAAAGGATACAATAGTAATCCGATCTGAATGTATAAATCCAATTGTGAGTGCTCCATGGAGTTATGGAGGACAAAATTATATAATAAAAGGACCTGTTAATGCAACACTTAAAACGGTTAAGACACAAAATTTTGCAGGAGGTGATGAGAATAGACCGATCGTAAGATTTTCAGAATGTTTAAAAATTGTTGAAAAATATGTTAATACAATAAGTAATAAGCCAATAGGATTGGGTACTCATGAAATATACGCTTTTTCTTATTACTTTGAACGAGCTACAGAGGTAAATTTTTATATTTTATTTTTTCAATTATTGCTCCATTCTCTCTCTCTCTCTCTCTCTCTCTCTCTCTCTCTCTCTCTTTTTAATATAATTTAAACTAATAATTGATTATTACAGGTAGGTTTAATAGACCCTTTCTCTGGTGGTGTCATACATTTGGGTGCTTTTCTAAAACAAGCAACAGAAACTTGTGATTATCCTAATGCAGAGCAACCATTTATGTGTTTGGATTTAACATTTATTTATGTTTTGTTACATAATGGTTTTGGCTTAGAACCTTCTACAAGGTTATTTGTAAGTATGATCATGTGTTTATGCGTGTGTGTATATATATATATATATTTTTTTTTAAACAATGATAAAACAATGAAACTATATAAAGAAAAAATTTAGATATAGATAAAAAGTATATAAAATCATATTTTATAAATGAGATTTATGTTTTTATTGCAGTTATATAAGAAAATCAATCAACATGAATTAAGCTGGGCTTTAGGAGCTGCCTTTAATGTATTACAAAGTGGTCTTTGACATTTGTAGAAAGAACAATATTAATATATAGAAAAATAATGGAAATAGAAAAATTATTAATTTTTAATAGTACGTTATTAAAAAGTATTGGATGTCGTCAGTATCAACAAATCTTAATATAAAAGTTAAGTTTTAAAAAAAATATAATTTAAAAAGATTTTACAAAGGGAAATTATAAATGGTTAATATTATATTATTATTAATGTTAATTTATAATATCAATTATAATTAATAATTATAATATTATAACATATTTATTTTATTTTAATAATATTATGACACATTCTGCACAAATCTTAACATTAACAAATGAATGGTAAATGCTTTGTTTATTATTTAATCGTTTATTTATTTTTTTTTTATAATTGTTATTCTTTTACATCGGATTATTGTTGAAAATAATTTAAATTTAAACTATAAAACTTAAAGTTACGACTATTTTTTGAATAATGAATGCGCACTCAATGGCATGCACAATCTACATACGCACAAATATGAATGATGTTATGATGTTATACTAATAGGAATAAAATAATTTAAAATAAAAATGTTATTTCTTATAGATTTAAATAGAGATAAAATAAAAAAATATATACATTTAACGGTGTATTAAATTATAGAAGTATTAAATAAAACTTAAAGATATGTTAAATCATATAAAACAAAAAGATTAATTTTATCTAACTTATTGAAAAAGTATTGAACAATATCATTCAATTGTTTGTTTTTGACTCATATGTTTCAAATGATAACAGGAATACACTGCTTTCTATTAACTCTTGTTCTTGCTGTAATGCAAACAAAATATGTATATATATATATATTATATAAAATCTATGCTATATATATATAGGAAATAAAATAAAGAAAATAGATAAAATATATGAAAGAAAAATGTCATAAAATATTACTCTAGTAGTGACTCCAATAAAACCATCAGCATGAACAAATAATTCTTTTTTTAAAGATATTGTTATGAAGTGCATTAAATCAAGATTGGATCGAATAAAATTAACAACATTTACTACATTAATTTTATCCAAAGCTGCATCTATTTCATCCAAGATAATAAATGGTGCAGTTTCATATCTTAAATAGAACCCAATAAACATTAAATTTCAACAAAATATTATACGTATTTAATTTAATCTTATAATAAAATAAACTGTACCTGTGTATTGCAAACAGTAAAGTTAAAATAGCAAGTACTTGTTCACCACCTGAAAGACTTGATAAGAAATGAAAACGTTTTCCTGGTACAATGCAACTGTAATTTATGTCATCCAAATATGGTTCTTCTGGATTATATGGAACAAGAGTAGCTTGAGCGGCCATATTATTAAGTAAATACTGTAAGAGTAATACAATTTAAAAAAAAACAAAAAGAATTTAAAGATACAAATAAATTAAATAAGTTACTTTATATTTTTACTTTATAAATGTAATCTGTATGACATGTAAGTTGGTCAAAACATTTCATGAATCTGCTGATTCTTTCTTCCTTAACTCTTGTAAATTTATTTCTTGCAATATGAGCAATATCGCGTATATCCTTTATAGTCTTATTGATTGCATCTAACTTCTTACGTATTAATTCCAAGTTTTCATCTGCCTGTATTATAATTAACTAATTATTTATAATCAAGAAATAATTGCTTACAATCAAATAATATTATCTCATCGAAAGATATTATTTTTATAAATATTATTTATGAATTAAAACCTTTAAATTTGGTGCTGGTATTAAATCCAATTTATTTTTTATCGCATTAATATTTTTTAATAATTTACTTTTAACATTTTCAAATTGATCATCATTAATTGTTTGCAATTCATACAATAGAAATGAAAAATTTATCTTTGAGAAAATATTATCTTCACTTTGTTCTATTGTATTTGAACTTGAAGTATTTATTGAAGATACCCATGGAGAATTATTTGAAGTATTTTGATTTGACATAGGAATTATTATATCTTCCATCTAATGCAAATGATTAAAAAATACTTAAGTAAAATTTCGTGCAGTTTTTTTAAACTAATAATTTATATTTATTGTTATTTATAAAAAAAATTAATTTGCAAAAACAATTTAACCTGACAACTCTTAAGTATATTATTTGTTTCTAGTTTTTTCTGTTTAATTTTTAATTCAATTATTGTATGTTCCCTTCTTGTTTCTAAAATTAATTTAGCAATAATACCAATTTGATGTCTGCATTGTGCAACTTCATTTTTCATTTTAGTTACTTCTGTTTTTACATTTGAATGGATGCGTCTTAATTCTTTTAATTCATCTTCCTGTTTATCAATGACATGTGTAATCGCAGACTCTTCTTCAAGTTCTATTTTTAATTGCTCTTCAACGTTTTGAACAGCAATTTCATATTTTTTTATCTCATCTATAGTAATATGTATATACAGTTATAGTATATACAAAAATTTAATGTATTAAGTATGCGCTACATTTAACAATACATTTGACAATTATAATAGTATATAATAGTATTGAAGTAATATATTACCTTTTGTATTGTGATGTTTTTCAAAATCTAATGCATTTTTTATACAATTATATTGGTTTTCTAATTCATATTCTCGTTTTTGTTGTTCCCCACGCATTCTATGAAAGACATTTTATAAAATATATAATATTATCTATTTAATATAAAAAATAATGTAATAGCAAATATACCTCAGTCTGCCTTTTTCATATACACGAATATTGGCAATATTAATATTTCTACAAAAAACAGAAAAAATTCTATCTTCCACATTGAATATCTGATTTTCAATATTCTGAATTTTGTTATGTCTATTATTCATGATTTTCTCAATTGATTCTATATTATTCTATAAAGATAATATATATAAAATTAATATATGGTTGACTATTAAAATATATTAAATACTCACGGATATTGACATTAATTGATGATTTATATTTTCAATTTCCTGGGTAAAATCAATCATTTGTCTTTTCTGAAAATATATATATTATATAAATCTGATATTTTAAAATATCGTTAATATATTCGTATAGGACATAACTTACAATATTGTCTATATCGATACGACTGTATTTTAATTTGTTGGTGAGACTTAAAATTTCAGAGTTCATTGCAGTAAGCTCAGATTGTTTCCTAATACATTTTGTAGTCTCTTTAATTTTTTCTATTAAAGTTGCCTAAAATTATTGTTATTAAAATCAAAATTATTGTTTATATAATTACTATAAAAATATAAGGAACCTTTTGTAACTTCATTTCTTGTATTTGTTTATCTTTCCAGATTGCAAATTTGTTTGATAAATCAATAGATCCTCCTGAAATGATACCTGATTTCTGGTAATAACTTCCATCAAGTGCAACACACTATTATATAATAAAAATATTAAAATGAGAGATAACATGATAATATTTATTAGAGTATAATAAGTTTATTGTTCGTAAGCAACTCACTGTGTATCTGTCATTCAAATGGATTTCATATGCAACTTTTCGAGCATCCTCTGAAGTCTCACACAAAAGGGTATTTTTGGTCACAAATAAAATAGCATCAGAAATTTCTTTAGGAAAGTATTCAATTACATCATACAAATACTGCACAGTTTTTGGATATATCATATTACTATAAATACATTCACAGTTAAAAATTTTGTAATTTGAAATTTTTATTAAAATATATTGATCATATATATTTTACAAGATAATACCTTATATTATTCTTTAGTTGGTCACTGAGAGATTGAATCTTTAAAGAATCAAGGGGTAAAAATGTTTCCACGCTTATTTGTTGTCGTTTTAAATATTCAATGCATTGCTTTGCCACTTTTTCTGTTTTAACAATAATTGCATCTCTGTGTTTCCAAAGTACTTTGGTTACAGCAATATTATATCGTTCATGAATTGGTTTACATAAGTTAAATAAACGGCCATACTAAAAATATAAAATGGATGTTTATAAATATATATATACATATAAAATATGGATTTGTAGTTAATTAATAATTTAAAAAATTACCACTTCTGGGAACAGATTTTTTAAAATTGTAATTGTATTTAATTTTTGGCATTCTCTTGAAACTGCAAATTTATCTGCTGTAATTTCATTTAGTTTATTTGTAATTTTATCAAGTTCCATTTGCATTTCTTCCATTGCAATCTTATTTTGTGTTATTTCAGTTTCAAGATCATGTCCCATTTTTTTTTCCTCTATTAAAGTAACTTCAGTTTTCATTACATATTGCTCTAATCGTTCCATTCGCTTTTCCATTTCCTTTAACATGAATTGTAATTTTTTCTTTTTGTCTTCTATTTCAAATTTTTTCCGTTTTTCATTATCAAGTTTATTTTGATCATTCTCTTGTTCGTATTTAAGAAGATTTAGATTTTTCGTAAATTTTACGCACTCTCGTTGGGCTGTACCTTTTAAAAGGTAATATTCTTTTACCTTTACAAAAAAAAAATATACATATTAGATTAAAATGTAATACTAAATTAAAAAAAAAAAAAATAATAATTACAATAATATATTACAAATGTAAATATTGTATAATACTTGTGCATTGTCCAATTCCATGTTGCTTCCTTGTGATTCAAGTTCACTTGAAATGCTTTGTGTTAAATTTGCTTTTAATACCTCTATTTTAGCTAATTCCTTTTGTAAATCTTTCATAGTTTTATCATGGACTTCATTTGCAAGACATGCTTTAGTTAAAGATGTACGAATAAATGAAATCTTTTGTTGTAAATGAGAAATTTTTTCTTTTGCACCAATCAATTTTGTAGTTTGATGAGTCTGTTGTAGATCCATTGTTGTCAAATTATTTTCCATCGTTGCTTCTTGATTTATTACTTCGAAATATTTATTCTTACTTTGTTCCAATATAATCTCTGCATTTTTTTTCTCATCCTCATATTTATTCATTTTGGATATATTATCAATTCGAAGTAATTTCAAATCACCAAATTCTCTTCTTATATGAAACAATCTGAATAATTGTAATTCCGTTTTTTTATCATGCTAAATGTTTTAAAAAAAATATAAATTAAAATATAAAATGTTATTTAATGTATGATAATAAATGATAACATACATATTCCTCTTGTAATAAATTATATTCTTCTGCTTCCTGTTGTTGTATTAAAAGACGTTTCTTTTCAGTTAAGAGAGATCTTTTCTTTTGAATAATATGACGTAGATCTAAATCAATATCATGCATTTTATTTTTTAATCTATAAAAGTAAACACCTTGTTAAATATTGTTTTATAGCTTAATAAAATAATCATACAATTTATTTAGGAAAAAAAAAATCATTTATTCATTATCACCTTTCATATTTTGATTTTAATTCAGCAGACTTACTGATTTCATCAAACATAATAGAAATTTCTTTAGGACTTGTTACGCACATAGTTTCAATGGTCCCTTGAAATACTAAAAAACTTTTACTTTTTATATTGAGCCCAAGCGAGGCAAGTTCTTGTACGTAAAATTCAACTTTAACAACCTAAACATATTTTATAATATTATTATAAGAGTAGATTTTTATTTACATAAAAGAAACAACAACAAAAATTTTTTTTCATTAATATATACCTGCTTATTTATTTTATATACATTGGAAGAATTATAAATGCCACGGGTAAATTCCTTACCCTTACCTTCTATATCAAATATAGCTGTTACATATGCACTACAATTAATAATAATAATAATATCAATCGATTAGATTGAAATAAAACAAAAGAAATAATAGTGATGTCATAAAAACGAATTTAAAAAAAGAAAAAAAAAAAATAACGCAAATAATTAAATCGAACACCTATGTGTCATTAATGTTCCATCAAATTTTTGTGAAATAAGATCGTTTAATCGACGAACACGTAAACGATTAATTTTCTCTCCCATTACGAAACTAATCGCATCCATGATATTAGATTTTCCTAGAAATATATCAAATATATTTGTTTTTATAAATATTTTATGAATACATAAAAAAAAAAAAAAAAAAAAAAAAAAAAAAACAAAAAAAGGAAAAAAAAATGAGAATACGTATATAAGTAATAAAAAAATGTATATATATATATATTTACCAGCACCATTTGGTCCTATAATCGTAGTGAAAGGCTTAAACGGGCCAATAATTACTTCACCGCAGAATGATTTAAAATTATAAAGTATTATCTTTTCCAGATGCACGCGCATTGTAAATTTCTTTCAATAAAATTAATTAAGAAGATAAAATTTTAATGTATTTGTGCCGCAAATAATATCGAACAGAGTAATAGTATGATCTTTTAATACGGTTTTCTAACATTAATGCAATTTCAAAATTTTTAATATGTGTACGTACACATTAATATACTACTAGCGTCAAATGTGATACGCAAAAATTTTATCAATGAAATCTAATTTATTTAAATAATTAGATATTTATAAATAATTAGATATTTATAAATAATTAGATTTTTTTTTCTTTTTTTTTTTAATGTAATTAAATTTTAAAGTTAAATTTTATGTATGAATTAAATTACAAATATCAAACAAATTAATACAAAATAAATTAATTTTATATAAATTACAAGGATAGAATAAGGAAAGAGGCTAATTCGAAATGCATATCTATAGCTATAATATATAAATAAATAAATAAATAAATAAATAAATATATATATGTGTATAATATATATATATATATATGTATATATATATTTACTAACTATAGTTGTAAGATATTGTGATAGTTTTAAGTGCGTAGAATATAAGTCATTAGAGTATGGAACATATGTGATAGTGAGAAATATTATATAAGGGCGGAAGTGTCTGCACTTTAAAAAGGAAAAAAGAATAAATATATACTTACTATTTTTATGTTTTTATCATTTATAAAAATTTAATTTTGTTACAATTTTTTTTTTTTTTGTATATAAAATATTGTAACTTTTTATATAAATTTGTTATTATTAAATATTTAGGTAATATGTAATATATTATATGAAATAAAATAATAAATTTTTTTAATACATATAAACAAACACACACACACACACACACATATATATATATATATAGTTATAATATTTCGTTGTTAATATACATATAATAACTGTTAATAATATTATAATTTATACATATTGCAGAAAATGATGTAGATGATTTTATTAAAAAAATTTTTATATAAATAACTTCTATTCGATACTTGAGTCATTTGGACTTTAGAGTTTACAAGGCGGGAAAGAGGTAGGACTTATTTAGTAGTATAACATTTATGGGGGCAGGTATATACATCACGAGAAAGAAAGGTTACGTTAGTTTTTGTTGATTTTTGTATCGTCGATCGTATTATATATAATATATAGTAATTTGTAAAAAAATATATTTTAAATATTAAATATCTCAATATATATATATGTTATACACATATATACAGTTTATATTTAATTTGTTAAAATAAGGATTATTATAATTTTATTATAATCTTATATCAGATAGAAAGATTTTAACATTTAGACATGTACTATGGAAAACATTAGTTGGGAAGGCAAATTTCTTAATTATTATAATTGTTTAAATATTATCTTTTATAATATATATATATATATATATATATATATATATATATATATATATATATATATATATATGTATATATCGTAATATTTGTTTTCAATGGAGTGATAATATGATATTTTCGTAGACACAAAACCAAAAGATACATCGGGTCAAACTTCAGAAGATAAAGAGACACAGAATATTGTAACATATAAAAGAAAACGAGTGGACAGTAGTGAAGAAAGTTCTCAATCTTCCGATGATTCCTTATCTCCAGAAGTTAAATATAATGGTGATAATTGTTACATTATCAATTAATTTAAATAAAGTAATATTGATCTAATCTGAAGATATTTTTATAGGTCCTCCTGTAAGATATAAACTTTGTTATAAAAACGGACATTCTGAGATTATTAAAGATCTTTGTATACTGCAAGATGGATCCGAAAATAATTAAGAGCTCTGACAATGAAATATATAAGTTATTAATGTCTAGTACAGAAAATAAAATACCTATAATCAAATTGCATAGGATTTCGGTCAATGAATTGTTAAAATATAACCAAGAAAAGATAGCAAATTCTTCAGACTCTGAAGAATTATTTGAGTCTAAAGTATCATCGTCAAAGAATATGTCTATCAGGAAATCAAAGAATTCATTAAAAATAAAATTGAGACGTTCCACAGAGCATAGCAATTATAAAATTGATAATGAAAGGTAAGAATAAATAAATTGTATCTGTTTGTTTACTAACTCATTTTACATTCTTTGATGTATTTATATTATGAACATTTTTTTTTTTTCTAGTAAAAGAAAAGTTACAAAAAATAAAAAAGAAAATAATGATCCAGTGAAATCACCACGCAGAGTGGAAAGACTTCGAAGTCGGCCTAAAAGACTTAGTGATTATGAATGTGATATGCTTCCTATTGTAAGTTCTTTAAGATCTAGAAGAACTATTAATTATAATGAAGATGCATTGAATATTTATGATGATACATCTTCAAAACATAATAAACGTGTGTGTACATTTTCAAAGGATATCGAAAATAGTAATTATAAGCAACATGGAATAACGCAAAAACGATTATCAAAGGTATCAAATAATAATGAAGAAAGTAAAGAGTGTGTTGATGATATTCAATTTCGAAATATAATAGACACACCTAAGAAAGCAATGAAACGTATTTCTCGTACAACATTTACAAGTATGATAGATGAAAATTCAGATGACAATGAGGATAGTTTCTTTTCGATTAAAAAAAATAGACAATCTGTTAGAAATAAAGTATTAGAAAATGAAGGAATTAGGGATAATAATTATAAAGAAATTGATAATTTATGCGATGGCATTATGACGATGTCAGAAAGTGTTTTAACATCAAAAAGAAAAAATGATAGACAGGAACAGGAAATACCTAAAAATATAAAAAACAATGTAAGAACAACTAAATCATCTCTTTCAATGAAATATAATAACTTGACGCCATCCATGGAAAGAAGAGCTACATTATTAATAAAACCATCAACACCTTTACAACAGAGTAGATCAAAACTACATGTGAGTGTTGTACCAAAGTCATTACCTTGCAGGGAAGAGGAATTTAATAATATCTTCACATTTTTAGAAGGAAAGTTAATGGATAAATGTGGAGGGTATGTTGATAATAGAATATTGTAATGTATTGAAAAATAAAGAGATTTGTATTTTCATACATATGAAATGTTTTTAATATTTGTTTATATATAGATGCATTTATATAAGTGGAGTGCCTGGAACAGGTAAAACTGCCACTGTAAATGAAGTAATACGTTGTTTAAAAAGATCAGTGGAAAAGGGAAAGCTGGATGATTTTAATTTTTTTGAAATTAATGGTATGAAATTGACAGAACCAAGACAAGCTTATGTGCAAATTTGGAAACAATTGAGTGGTAACACTTGTACATGGGAGAAAGCATATCGTGAACTTGAGATGCAATTTGTTAATAAAAATTCTAAAAGACCAATGACTTTGTTACTTGTAGATGAGGTAAATTCAAGATAAATTCATGAGTTCATTCAATTATAATTATGAAATTATTAATATATGTTTTTAGAATTTGCTTCGTTAATTTTTATGAATATGTGTTATATTTCTTTTCTTTTCTATTATTTTTATTTTATTTAGACAATTCTTTTTATTTTTATTTTTGTAAATTTAGCTTGATCTTTTGTGCACGAAACGACAAGATGTAATATATAATTTATTAGATTGGCCTACAAAAGCAAATGCACAATTAGTAGTTATTACCATAGCTAATACTATGGATTTGCCTGAAAGAGTATTTATGGGTCGTGTTACCTCACGATTAGGTCTCACGCGATTAACGTTTCAACCGTACAACCATAAACAATTACAAGAAATAGTATTAACTAGACTTAAGGATACAGATGCATTTAGAAGTGAAGCTATACAATTAGTTGCACGGTAGGTAATAAATATTCATAAAAATTTTTAAAAATTTCATAATTAATCAATTATATACTATACGTTTATTCATTACCTATCAAAAATATAGGAAAGTATCTGCTGTTTCTGGAGATGCTCGTAGAGCTTTAGATATATGTCGCCGTGCTACTGAGATTACAGAAATCCATGGAAGAAAAAAAGTTATCATGGAAGATGTAAATGAAGCTTTATCAGAAATGATAGAAAATTCTAAAGTTCAAGCAATAAAACATTGTTCAAAAATGGAACAAATGTTCTTGCAAGCTGTATCGGCGGAAGTAACTCGAACTAGTATTGAAGAAGCATGTTTTAAAAATATATATAATCAACTTTGTTCGATGTGCTCTTTTGAAGGTTTGTATGTTAAATTAAAATTAGTAGCAAAAAAAAAAAAGAAAAATTTTTTTTATTTATATATTTTATTTTTGTAGGTATTAAGATACCTACGTTAACAGAAATATTAGCTATATGTGGAAGATTGGAAGCTAGTAGATTGTTAATACGTGACAATGTACGAATGGATATACATCAAAGAATTTTATTAAATGCATCAGCAGATGATATTCATTTTGCATTACAACCAATTGATCTTAATTAAAAAAGTGTACTTGATTTGTTTACTTTATTTAAATTCTTTATAACTGAATGTGAAAGTTTTGTTATATTGACAAGTGCCTTACTTTTTAATACAGTAAATATTTTATAACTCTTTTGAATCTATTTATACAGGATTTTATAAATAAGATGAATGAAAATAAATTATGAATAAGAAGAAAAATATTTGAAATTATTGAACACATATATGTGTCTGAATTACTCTAGATTATTTCTAGTGTACTTATATAGATCTATATTAATAGATATCAATTGCATAATATGTTCTGTCTATAAGTAATCATTTTTTCATCTAACTGTACATAATTCATGTGCCTTAAAAATTTTGTGTAACAAATATATATATATATATGGTTTTGTATTAATTATTCGTATATATTCTGTGATATAATTTATAATTTTATACGTGAAAGATGAATGTTGAAGAAAATCTTGAAGAAATTATTCTTCAATTACATAATGACTGTAATTGGAAGGATATTGTGAATTTAACTTCTGTTATTGACAGTTCAAAAAACAATAGATTATTTTGGATACTTCCAACTTTGGATGATTTAAGTTGGATAACTGAAGTAATTAAGAATAATGAGATATCAGGAATAATCAGCATAGGTTGCGGTTGTGGCTTAATCGAATGGTTATTGCAAAATTACTCCGGTGAGTATTTATATGGCATAGCAATTTTGAATTAATTAAAGATAGATAAATTCATTTCTAAAAATTATATAAATATTAAATTCATTTTGTATTTTTTAGGTTTAAATATTGTTGGTATAGAATTGGATAGTTCATGGTGGCACAGTAAATATGCCCCCCCATTATTTCTTGAAAATATTGTTTTTATTAATGAAAAAAAAGGGAAAAATCTTTTTGTGCCAAAAGATTATGCACTTTTATTCTGCTATTTTAATAATGGAGAAGCATTTTGTAATTACATAGCTAATTATGAAGGAAATATAATAATTGTCATTGGACCTGCAGAGGGCCAAGAACGTTCTACAGATCCACTTCCATTTGATGAGAAATTTGCTAAGTACAATTGGAAGTTACTTACAAAAAGATCAATTATGAATTTTAAAGATTACATTGTTGTGTACACTAGATAATATTGTGTTTGTTTAATTATTTATGTTATTGTTAGAAAAAAAAATATATGTATATATATATATATAATCTCTTTAATACCATAAATAGATTATTTTTATTTTATACATTACAGTTTATTCATTATTTCGAATAATTAATTTGGAAATAATTAATGTTATAAATATTCTAAAATTTCAATCATTATTTGTTGATTATTATTATCATCAAGAGATATATCGAAATGATATTATCGATTAGCGATTATCGATAGTTGCTAAAGATGAGCGACTATTAGAGACAACTTTATTGGTTATAGGTTATAGTTTTTCAATCCGAAGGTTTTGAGTTTAAATTGTGATATTATTTTATTACACTATTCTTTTAATTGTACCGATGATAGTATAATAATAAAGTGATTGTTTGATTCGACTTATTAATTAATCGTAGAAATCCAGTTATGTCGACGAATGAAGATAATATAAATACCAAAATAAATACAGATGGAAAGAATAAAGAAACAATATTTTGTACTTTCTGCCCGTCTAAGATACTTAATATAGGAGCAGCTACTTTTATTATAATGGAGGTAAATTACTTAATTAATATATTGTAATTATTGAATAAAAGTGAAAATTATTTTCACAAATAATATTTTCATTTGAATTCAGATATTCAATGTAAACTTTATTAGCCAATATATCTTAATAAAAGATCAAATGAATAAAAGATCATATATTAAAATGTATAATCATTTGTAGTTTGCACTACCACACATACATTCCAAGGGAGAAGGGGAAGGCAATCAACAAGAAACAATAACAGAATATTGGTTAATTGAAGATATGTACACGTTTGAAAATATTGGAGTATCTCATACAGTAGGAAATATAAAATATTTAGCGTGTGCAGATTGTGAGAGAGGTCCAATAGGTTGGCATGATTTAGCAACGAAGAAATCTTATATCGCTTTATCTAGAGTTAAACACGAATAATTAATTTGTAAGTTTGATTTTTTTTTTTAATTTTATAAAACAAAAACAGAATTAACAAGTATTCTGGTTGGCCTATACAAATTTGTAACTTTATAAAAGAATATTTACCAAAGACAATGACGATTGATTATTATTTAAACTAATTAAAAGTGTCTATTGTGGAAAGGGGAAAAAGAATATACATATGTATATGTATATATATATATATTTATAAATATATATATATACACATGTATGCGTATATCCATTTATGCAGTATATCCATTATATTTAATATTATCGTTGTCTTTATATGTGAAAGAAACTAATATTAATAGGAGCTCTAAGATTGTATAAAGTAAAAAGATATTAAATTTTTTTTTTGTATGTAAATTTTCGAAATAAAAGTACATTTAAAATGGAAATAATATTTACAGTTGCGTAACTTTTACAAAAAAAAAAAAAAGATTTACGTACTCTTACCTTTTATCTGAACAAATGGTTTCATGTCAAAGGATATATATATATATATGTATGCACGTATGTATGTATGTATGTATGTATGTATGTATGTATGTATGTATGTATGTATGTATGTATGAATGAATGAATGAATGAATGAATGAATGAATGTATGTATGTATGTGTGTATGTATGTACTTTTTAACAAGAAGGATGCTTAGACGTTTGGATTGTTTTAGGCATAAAACACGTCGCTAGTTTAATCGACATTTTAATATTTAATCACGTTACAAACACAGCCGATAAATCAGATAATTAATCGTTACGATCATAATACGTTTACAGTGATCAATAAACCCGCTTACGATTAAGAATCACTTGTCAATGTTTATATAATACGTATGCATCCGCGTTCGAATCATTATAATCTTTAATATTTAATCGTGATTTAGTTTGTGTCTCCTTCATGTTTGTGTCATCGTTTCTTTCTCATGTAACTTCTTGTCTTTTTTTTTCTTTTCTTTTTTTTTTTCCCCCACTGTTTATTATTTCCTTCCTTTTTTCTTTCCCTTCTTCCTTTTTTCCTTATTTCTCTTTAATAGTTTTGTTTACGATTTTATTACGCGTGTGCGTTATCCTAACGCGCGTGTCGCGGGAGGAGAAAACTAATATTTAAGAATTTTTTATTTTTTATTTATTTTTTTTTTCTTTTTTTTTTATTTTTCTTTCCTTTCTAATTTGCCTTAAGTATTGCAAAAATAATCGTGCGCTATTTCACGCTGTTATCGGCTTTTTAAACATCACAGCTTTATCTAACGCAGACTGTTACGAAGTAATATATCCGTTTCTTTTTCATTACGCGTATCCCTTAACAATGCAAGTGTTTATTAAATATACGTGCTATATATAAGTGCTCATTAGTTATAATTAATAACGTTAATTTGCGACAACGGCTCTGTGTGTATATGTGTGTTTATATGTCTCTTTGTAAATGTGTATCTGTATAATTTATACGTGTGTGTGTGTGTGTGTGTGTGTGTGTTTATAATATGTATATATGTATATTTATTGTGTATATGCGCACACATGTCCCTAATCGCCGTATAAATTTTAGGCAATACAATGATAATAACAATAACAATAACAATGATGAATAATAATAACAAGAATTATTGTTATAAGGTAATAATGTTTTTGTTATCGTTATTAGAGTACCGAAAAACGAAAAATAATAATAACAAATAGCAATAAGAGCGATTAAAACTTTGTGAGAATCTTATTTGCATGTCATATATATATATATACATATATATATATATATATGTATTACGTGTTATTCTTTTTGGTTTTTCTTCTCTCTCTTTCTCTCTATCTCTCTCTCTCTCTCTCTTTCTCTCTTTTTCCCCTTTTATATCACATAATAATTTATAATAAGGCTCATCTTTATACAAATTCATTATCCCGCTCTTCTCGACACTACGATCCGCGCTTCGACTTGATTTTATTTTGTTTCTCGTTTATTTTTTTTCCGCTTTTTTCTTCTTTATCCTTTTTCTCTTTTTCCTTTTTTTTTTTTTTTCTCATCATCACACATTATATACATATTTATAAATGTTCAGCTTCTATTTTTTCCTTCTGTTTTTCTTTTTCTTTTTTTTTTTTTTTTTCGTTTTTTCTTTTTTTCCTATCAACAGAACAAATAAAAAAGAAGCAGCATTATTATTATTATTATTATTATTATTATTATTATTATTATTATTATTATTATTATTATTATTATTATTATTTTAATTAGATATAAATGAAATTGTTCGGTACAAGGAAGAAAAAAGAAAATTAGATTATCGTAAGATTTGTTGTTCCTCGATCGGCGACTTAGAATAATTTGAGAGATAATTTTTTAAGAGGAATGAAAAATAAGAGAGCGATTCCTCTCGATTTTTTTCTCGACATTATTATCCGCTTTTTTTTCCTTCTTTCTTTCTTTCTTTCTTTCTTTCTTTCTTTCTTTCTTTCTTTCTTTCCTTTTTTAATTTTTTTTTCTTTTTTTTATTTTTACTTTTTTTCTTTTTTTTTTTCTTTAATCGTAAACATGAATATTATCGATGTTTGACACAACAGACACAGTTAAAGCCGTGATATTATTTTGCGAGAGATTTTGGTGCTTCGCGATGGGATACTAACATTTTTGTTAATTTTTTTTTCTTTTTTTTTTTTTTTTTTTTTTTTTTTTTTATATAAATCTTTTACCTTTGAGCATTATTATCTAAAATTAGTAACAAACGGTTTTTCTTTTTTAGTTTTCTTTATGTATATATATATATATATATATATATATATATATATATGTATATATATAATATATATATATAATAAGTAGGCATACGGCACTTGCATAAGCACACAAATTACGCGTATTTGCGGTTGACTTTTTTTTTTCTGCATGATATTTAATGAGTGCAACTAACTATGAGAATAAGAACGTCATTGTGTAGTTAGCGTCTGATTTACTGGTATCTCAAGGAGAAAAGAGAATAGGACGAATTCGATTTTATACAGATTTGTAATTCTTTATCTTTAATTTCATATCCCTTGGGAGAAACAATATTTTCTTCATTCGTGGATCCAAATATCAGATATTAAAAAACTAACGTAGTCCTAAACAAGATGCGTGGGACTTTTGAAAAATGAAAAACGTCAAAGAACTTTTTTTACGCAAAAATGCGTGATAATGTTTCTTTCTTTTTATGGAAGATAGATGGGCGGAGTTAATTTAATCCTGGTAATCATTTATTTGAATAAATTTAACGCGAAACTTTAGTATTATGTTTAAAAATTTTTAAACTCTTTTCTCTTACGCCAGTGAATTAGAAATGCTAACTTTGCAAAGACAGTGAAGATCTTGTAGGATTATGTACTTTGGTCCGTGGAAAGTTTAAACGTTAGTAACATTAATTAATTAAACAACTAATTAGCGTTCCTATCACCTAGAGGTGTTCTTGTTTCATTCTTTTTCTCCCAATTTTTTTTTTTTTGTTTCTCTTTTCTTTCCGTATAACCTACAACAACGTGAAGTTTATAAACGTAGATTATGTTTGTCGTCTTACTCGACATTGCTGTTTGGTTTAAAGTATTTACGTCTTATTTCATTGCAAAATATTGCTTCCCATTGTTGTTGCCGTGTTTTTATTTATTTATTTATTCTTTTTTTTTTTTTTTTTTTTTTTTTTTACGCAACGCTTATCGTATTTTTTCTTTTCTTTTCTTTTCTTTTCTTTTTTTTTTCTTTTTCGTTTTTTTCTGGTTTAATCAGACATTATTTCGGTCGCTTCGATATTTCTTGAAAAATTACGAATATTATTTAACACAGATTCATGCTTTTCTTTGCTTTTCTTTCTTTCTTTTTTTTCTGTTTTTTTTTTCTTTTTTTTTCTTTTTTTTTTTTTTTTTATTTCATACGGGAGTTGTAATATATTTAAATAATATTATATTATCGCATACTCCACGAACAATTGCAGATTTTTTTTTTTAATTTTACGCGTTGCATATTTCGCTGAAATCGTTCGACGTTGATCGTTTATCATCGGTTTTATAATCCCTTTCTTAACGTTTTTTCTCTCTCTCTCTCTCTCTCACTCTCTTTTTTTTTTCTTTTTTCTTATTGTTTAACTCGGCGAAACTCTCGTTCTACGCAATATTCGTTGTGTCGATTTATAGCAATTAAATTTTTAATTTTGTTCGCTCGCTCGCTCGCTCGCTCGTGCGCGCGCATTTTCATATAACTTGTGTCATTCATCAGTGCCATTGTTTGTTTGTTTGTTTTGACAAATCGAGTCAATATATAAGTTACATTTTTCTTTTCCGTTATTTTTCCTCATCTTTTCTTTCCTTATTTCAATTTTTGTCTTTCTTTTTTCTTTTTTCTTTCTTTCTTTCTTTCTTTCTTTTTTTTTTTTTTTTTTTTTTTTCTTTAATCTATAATATATTATATCAACGTTCCTACTGCAAATATTCCGTTCGAATTCGTTTAATCCTGGAACTCGATACATCTCCGAAAGAGTATTTTATTTTCATAAAGCTTAATTATTAACGAGTGAATTAACGTTAGAATTTATACGGTATCTCGCTCGCGAAATTAAAAGCATCTAAGAATTATCGAGATATATCGCGCGTAGCTCTGCTTTGACAATTTTTTTTCTTTTTTTAAGAATTTTTAATATACAATAAGGTACCGAGGCGAATTAATATATGTGTGTATGCGTATGCATATATATATATATATGTACATACATATACATACATATATATGTATAAGCATATAAAAGAGCAGATAATCGACCGATCGAATCTTCGATCTTTTTTGTTCCTTTTTGCACGAGCGATCGACCGCCATTTTTTTTCGACCATCTCTCTCTCTCTCTCTCTCTCTCTCTCTGTCTATGTTTATCTTACTCCTTTTATTTTCAGCCAATACGCTATATAATTTTACATATATATATATATATGTAAAACATACACATATATATATATACATATCGCCTATGAATTATTTATTTATTTACATGTATACGTATAACGTCGTAGTTAACTTACTAAGATTTACGAAAAACGAAGATTAACAGATAACGAGAAAAGAAAAAATTTTTCTTATTATCCTAATTTCATTTCATTTAAATTCAGAAGTAAATTTAGAAGCAAGAAATACACGCGTACGCG